GCGATGCATGTTATAAGCGACACCTTCGGATGACACTGAACAACACTGAGCAGTACACTCATTATACTCGCGCCCTCAACGTTGACCTTAGAGGTATCACCTCCCCGGGGGAGTGGTTGGGGTTTCACTATGAGGGAGGCATTCCTAAAGATGAAAGGTTACATAGTGCCTAATAATCTCACCTAAACAATCCGGAAAAATACGTCTTGCTCTTACTTGATCTAGCTCTGTCTTCGGAAATAAGAAATGTATATGCATACCTATAGATTTTATACTAGACACATTATTTTTACTCGTCACATTAGAACATCCGTTTAAATTGTGCACAGTCTTGCAGCCGCAATACAAAGTGTCGGCTTAATAATACATGTACCTCTATTTTTTCACAGCGCCATTACAGTAGTTAATTATTCAAGTAAACTCAACCAGATCAGTCCTTTTATGCATGACTGTCCAGTTATCTAGTTTCAAGGTTTTGGCAGCCTACTTGTTGGAAGACGTAGATGCTTCAACACAAGAGGGCGCGCCATTCTGGGTATTGTGTGTAATTTGCGTCAATTATTCTTTCAAAAAATGTATTTCCTTGCGTGCGAGATACATTTTCACATGTGGGCGGTTTTATTTTCGCTCAAAAGTCTTGTCAAGATTGAAAACAAATGATTCTTTAATACTTCTTGCCTTTTCAAGGAATCTCTGCCAAGTTTCCGCTCTTATTCCTTGACCCAATTTGATGTTGACGGTATGTAGTCGGTATGACATCATAACCGTCCATACCATACCACAGACCTGAGGTGTTGGAGCAAGGCGATGCAGCGTGTTATAGCGCGGCCTACACGCTGCGCTCTCTCCCCTCCCTGTATTGCGTCACATAACTACCTCGTCATCGCTCCCGCTTCCCCCTCCATGACGTCACCCCGGAACAACAACAACTGGCAAGACACGGGGAAAGTCGTCTCGGCCGGGGAACACGTTGCCATGGCAGCACTGCATCACTGCATCAACACAACGAGGACCAAGATGTTTGCCATCAGCCAGTTCAGTGAAGATCGCGTGAGGACACGCTCGCTACTCCGACTTAACAGCACAAACGAGTCATTTCCGCTCCGTATTACCGCACAGCCCCCGTTTGTTGTCGGCGTACTCTCGTTGCACATCGGCCGAGTTTTTCGCAGTTGCACTCTCCTAAAATTGTTTTTTTTTCTGTCTCCCGGACAAGATATCAATTCCCGCATTATTCTTGGCGGCTCCCGTGTCAGTGTAGAGTGATGATGTCAGTGCCGACTACACTCTGCGTTTCACATCAACATGAATAATTGGTCGGCAATCGTGATTGATTCTTGCACGCGTACACTTTTGTTCTTACAACATTCGCGCCGGTGAAAGATGTATTAATTTGCCAGGGCGGCATTGTCACGAACACTGCGAGAAAAATGATCCGTTGTTATTTGGTCGTTATTGTGTGTGCCTCGAAGAATTAAAGGTGTCCACATAATTTGTAATATTAACCTGGGATAGGCCTATATAATCAATTAAGTTTGTTTTTCATCTAGCCCATTTATTTTAAACAACTTAACAAGAATCAACGAAATCAATTTTTGTTGGTAACGGATTTACATAAGCCAGAATCATCGTATAGCTTGGTGGGTGGATCACTGGACGAACCTAAAACCTATTTTACGGTGCCGGAAGTGGCCGGCCGGTCTCAGGGGTTGAAATGGAAATCATTTGTTAAATGACACTTTGGGGGAGGCACGCACCCCCCCCCCCCTCACTTTGGGGGAGGCAGCACCCCCCCCCCCCCCCCCCCCCCTCCATCCGCCAGTGTAGAAGGGTGATCTGTGTGCGTATATATGTGTTTTATAGCTCCATGGTATATACGGAGTCCACTTATGGGCTAAACTATAGTGTCAGGTTATGGTATTATTTCTTCCTGATCGATCCGCAAAGACGAAGATTGATCATCAGATCCAATTGTGCACACCCAAAATACGACAACGCAAAAACAATGACACAGAGTTCCAAACAAAAGTGGATTCTTATTTTTACAAAGATGGCGAGGGGCGTGGTCATATGTGTGTTTTTAAACCTGACTGTTGTTTGGTTATAGTGATTAATCCCTTGATCCACGAATTACGAGTCACCAAACTCACCATACAGTCATGATTCGAAGCGGGCAATTCGCTAGCCAACCGTGGGCGGCAGGCGACGGTTACACCCCAATGTTCCGACACCCCAATGTTCCGACTGCACATATTCCTATTCCTAACCCTAACCCTAACCGGGAGTAACACAATCTTATGTACGGGTTGTCAGAACATATAGGTGTCGGGAACATAGAGCAGTCGCCGCAGGCGACGGAGCCGCCTCCCCCACGAAGCGAGCGAAATGCGAAGCCTCGTGTTTAAAGTTAAGAAGCCGATGCGATGATCTCCTTACAAATCCAATTGTGCACACCCAAATTTTAGGACAACGCAAAAATAATGACACAGTCACCGCGTAGCTTGGTATCCGGTAAGTTATACGCCATTGTTTGGGGGAATACTGGACGCCGTACGTTCGAATCCTAACGGCACCATTTTTCTTATCTTGCTCTAATTGTGTTATTTAAGTCAAGTCCTAGTTACCTATGAAAGCAATTTCACCTTTTTTTCTGATTCATGGCTCTGTCTGGAGGTGTTTTTTTGTTAAGGACGTAAAGTCCGAGAACCAACAACAGACACGTTAACTTAAGACACGTGCGAAGTGGTTAAACCTGGTTGCAGAAAAGTTCATTATTGCTGCCCGGCTCTCTCTACCAAATTCCGACCATTGGAAGTCAGAAGTGGCAGTCAGTAAGTCAGTCGGTCCGTCGGGGAGTCAGTCGGGGAGTCAGTCAGTCAGTCAGAAGGAGGACACTAGGCTGCACTTTGGGACCAGCAAAGAAAATGAGTTCGGACATTTTCCTCTCAGATAATAACAGCGACGCTTTCGGTTTGGACAGTCTTCTCAAAGACGATCACTACTGGCACATCGTTCGTTTAGCGTGTGCCACGGGGTCTGTCGCCGTGAATCAGCACCGCAAAGCCGCCCAGGAACTGTTGGTCGTCTGCACGGATTTTGCAACCGGAAGTTGTACATCTTCTGCGGTGGTGTAAATGCCTTCTCACTGAAACCGCGCGTCTTATTTCCCAAAATAACCTGATTTAAATCACAAGTTCCAATTATAGACATTACTCGTTACTCAATATAACAAATCTTGATTCATTTCTTCAGGATTTTGGTCATATTATGCGTTGACTGCAACACCTCATCCATCCCTCCCCTAGAAAAACTCTGACTCCAAAACCCCAGCTACCCCTCTCCCCTCCCACATCCCTGGAAAATGCTTGATCCGTCCCTGCGGTCGTACTCATTTCTGAGCCCAATTTGTATTCAAGTTCTTAGCCAAAATATTACTTTGCAAAATCAGTTTTCGTCCTGAGCTAAATTAACAGCATGAGAAACAGTCACAAGCCACAAACATCACATGTCATTGCTAGGCCAAATGTAACTTACTTTCAAACCCAACACGGGATGCGGTTCAGGCTAGACCTGTCACGGGGTCGATGAGCAGACAACCAAACGCCCAGATTGGGTCGAGATGGATCTAATTTAGTAATTTTGGTAACCGCAATTGTTGCAGGTCTAAATCATTTAAAGGCATTGCTTTTAATATGTTCCCGCATCGGAGCGAAATTTCTATGTGGTGGGGGAAAAGGGTTCACCCACCCCACACCTAAATTTGGCTTACCGCGACCACACGACACTTAGACTAGAAATCTATTTTAAAAATGTCATTTTCAGACTAAAGGACACGCTGCATACACAGGCAACTGTTAACATTATCGCTGTATTGTCCGATTATCTTCCAAAACTTATAGGCTGATATTGTGTTTCTTTGTATCCACCGTACCGTAATGTCCAGCTTGATGCGCTGGTGACCCCTCGTATAATTGCCCACAAATGTTTGTGAAAGAAAGACAAGACGTTGCAAAGCTTTTTGTGTCAAAAAACTGAACCTTATGACCATGACCAATGCCTGTGAAATCCGGAAGTGTTGACCCCTAAGTCATGCAGGATGAACAAAACGCGTGCTCATAGAAATTGAGTCACCACGGGGCCGGGCCGGGAGTCAGCGGCGCATCTACGCTGTCATGGGGGCACCTGGGGTACATCAATTTTTTAAGGGGGGCACTATATGCGGGGGGGGGGGGGGGCACAGACATCCGCTAGAGGAGGGGGGGGGGGGCGGCACGTTCCCGGGTCCCCGCTAGTACGCCGCTGCGTGCCAGGTGTAGACAAATTTCTAATAAATTATCATGAAGCCAAAGACCATAGTGCTCTTTTCAAGTGACTTTTAAAAAAGAAATAAGGTTCCCAATGTTGCACAATAGGTAGGCTAATGAAGCTACAAGGAAACTTTAAGAGGGCGATGTCACGGTTTTTCTACCACATTGAGTTGTTCTGGATCTGATAAGATGGAAGATGATAAAGATTATGCCTATGCCATACATTGTGTTACGCACGGTCAAACCATTGCCTCCTTCATATAGTTCTGTTCGAAGATGTTACTATTGAACTCAGTCGCTCTTATATTTTAACATGTCACTTTGATAAAAAACAAAAAACAGATGAACTGTTCTTGCAGTTCTGAACGCCGGCAGTTTAATTTTGTCATCCTAATAATGCTTCCGAAGCAGGAAATCTCAGTCGTTGTGTTTGGATAATGTGACAAACTTCGTCTCGGAAGCCGCAATTTACGGAGTCTAAATTTGTAATCTGCCCGTTTAGTCAGTTTTATCCAACGAATTTACAGTTTCCTCATAAAGATTGGTGCTAGTTCAAAGTTAAGCTCCAATTGTAGTTGCGTTGATAGGGTCCGATTCCTCATGATCATCCAGACCGCGCGTCGCTACCTATACCTGTCGCCGACCGTACGCTGTGATGTGCTATCTGTGATAGCGCCCTCTAAGTGACAGAAATAGAACACTGCAAAATCAAGATGGCAGCCCCCATGAGAACTTTGGGAAACCTCGCAGCGGAATCGACCGTATTTTTCCTGTGCGATATGCAGGAGAAATTCAAACCTGCTATTAAGTATTTTTCGGATATAGTGGAAGTCGCAAAGAGGCTGGTAAGGAAATTAGGTCGGGAGTAATGCCGTTTACAGCTTCTAAACTTAGATCGTATTTGTTCGCATTTTATTTTGACATGTTTGAAATTGAATTGATCATTTGATGATTTGTCACAGAAAAGCGGGGAAAGAATGTTGCAACCTGACGTAGCCCCATAAATGTGGCCAATTTACTGGACTACCTCCGTAAATAAAGGCCACACTTAAACCATGTACCCGAACATGTAGACTTTTTTTGTAGTTTATTTACCCTTTAGATTAATAAATAAATAAGTAATAAGGAGCACACTCACCCTCTGTAATTCCCGGTAGAAAATTATTCCCCCCCCCCCCCTTTTCAAACTTTTAGTTTTCATGTAATGTCAAGAACATGTTGGAAACAAATATTATTATTAAGTTTTACAAGATATTTCTGATGGTAAAAATATCAGAAAATTAAAAAATAAATATGTGGCAGGAAAAAGGATGTGGGCGGGGACGAGAAACAGGTACATTTTTTTGTTTGGCCTAAGTAGGTCTATGTAAACCAGTTACATACTATTTTTGCAAAATGTATTTATTTGTTTGTTTATTTTTTGCAGACAGAAACGTCAAAGATTTTGGAAATTCCACTGATTGTTACAGAGCAGGTGAGCATATATCAAAAAAAGATTTTTTTTGTTTCAGATCTTGAACTTGCAGAAATACATGATACATCCCTCCAATATTTTTTTACCATTGGGGACCCAAAATTGCTGAAAGTAACAATTGGATGTTTACAAGTTTTTTTCAGCTTTGATACATTTACCTGTCAATGACTATTGCCACCCAACACTGCTAAAATTTCAAAAGTGCTGTTAAAAGAATAAGAAAAAAACCCCAATATTTCACACCCCTTTGGCTATTAATCACCAACAAGTATTTACTGTTTTTTTATTTCATAAAATTCTTGTCTTTCTTCCTGTGAATTAGTATCCAAAAGGTCTTGGAAGCACTGTGTCCGATCTGGACATTACACACGCAGTGGGAGTGTTTCCCAAGACTAAGTTCTCTATGGTCCTGCCCCCTGTGGAAGAGGAACTGCAGAAGCGACCAAATCTGAGATCAGTTGTTCTCTTTGGGATTGAGGTGAGTGGGTTTTAACGATTTAGATCTTCATTCTTCTTTTCTTGGTATTTTTTTCCTGCTTTTCCCCACTCATTTTCCCACCCATTTTCCCCTTTTTAAGTTGATGTGGATCTACAATTTTCTGTGAACAGACCCCAAAATAGTTCTTGTTTTATATCAAATAAATTGAAATAAATTTAGAGCTACATGTATACATTTAGTACTGTATACATTGAGTAATGTGCCCAAAATACTGGGTTTTGCCCAAGCTTTCTTGGATGGGACTCGAACCCGTTACCTCCTGCCTACAAGTGCAGATGTCTTTTACTCACCCAGCGAGATTGTGAGGGTCAGCTATCTCGTTCGAAAATCCAGTATTGAAATTTTCCTGGTGAAAAATTATATCATTCTAAAAATACTAATTCCCTTTTTGCAATTCTCTCCCAGACAATAGAAAATAAATATAGAGAAAATAAATATAAAGAAAATGGAATTTTTTTTCTTTTTCTACAGGCCCATGTGTGCGTTCAGCAAACTGCCCTGGATCTCTTAGCGAAGGGGTTGGAGGTTCACATTGTGGCAGACGCCTGCTCTTCAAGGAGCATGATGGATCGACAGTTTGCATATGAGGTAACCCACAGCAATGAAAGCAAGACAAAAATCTCTGGAGCATGTTATGCAATATTTTCCCTTTGTGGTTAACTTGATTTTATTCTTTTTTCAGAGACTTCGGCAGGCCGGAGCAATAGTCACCACCAGCGAAGCCGTCATATTCCAGCTGCTAGGCGAGTCCAAGCATCCCAAGTTCAAGGAGGTTCAGGCTCTGGTCAAAGCTGTAGCACCGGTCTCGGGGCTTGCGCCTAATCTATAAATGTCATCCGTACTCTTAGGTATACAGTCAAGTCCATAGAGCTGTGAAGTGCCAAATGCACTGACAAGAGTTTTTCTACACAGCCAAAAAAAAGTTATAAGGTGAAAAGATCATGCCTAATGCTTAATCTTCACTGTCATTTTTTACACGTTTAATACTTTTCTTCAATATTTGAGAGCTGTATTGCTGAAGTGATAATATTGGGTAATTTTGTATGGAATATAGAAAGTATCAGAATGAGACTGTGTACATTGCTTCCTCCTCAATTATGTGGTTGCACAAGTAAACTTTGAGACAATTTTGAAAAGAGGAAAGTAACAAGAAGGCTCGATAGGAGAGTGGCCCAAGTGGGGAGTAAGTAGTATGCCAAGAAGAGCTTAGAAGTAGTATCACTGCAAGAGGACAGTATTGGTAAACAAACAGAATCAAATAACATAGAAGCCGATGGGAGAGTGGGGAGTAGGTAGTATGATCGTAAGAGCTCAGAAAACAGTCTCTTCCAATATATCAAACTAAAACGAAAATTCCAAGGATCTATTGATTTGTTCCCTGCTACAGAATGTGTATTTTGTACATTTTGCATGTTCTTTTATTTTTCAAGATTAAAAAATAAAACGCTTGCCTGTCTAAATCAAATTTGTAAAATGACCATTTTCCTACAACTCACTTCCTCAATGCATTTAGTTTTACCAAATTGTGGTAAACATGATTGCTTAAGGACACACGAACAATGCTCTGAAGACTTGTCTGCTTCTGTTCCAAAAATCCCAAGTTAATAATTGTTTGAACTAAGTCATGGACTTCTTGAGTGTCATATCAACTTAATCATTAATTTTATTTGATTATTTGTAATGTACCAACGTTCGTGTACTTTTTTCACCAAACCTCCTGAACATAACAGAATAAAACACATCAACATTTGGAATTTTATAATCATATTTTATTCAATGTAATGCTTAATATTTATAGAAAATTTCCATCTCTTTTTATAAAATTATACTTTATCTTTACAGAAATGCATAGACCATCAGCAAAAATGAGGCTCAACAAATATTTAGTGCAAGAATAGATTGTATAAAAGGAGTTATCGTTCACCAATTTTTTTCGAAAAACCATAAAGTAGCAGCAATTCATATTTGACAAGTTAAAAAAAAAAATGTGTAAAATAAATCTACGATTTTGGTCAAACCAACACTATATGTCATGTTGGTAAAATTTACCAGAAAAACTCTTTAAAAGGTACAACTTATCCTGATTTTTTTCTCTCCAAAATTTTACTTGCAGACTAGTAACTGAAGTATCTACGTCAGACGGTTAAAACAACTTTGTGTCACTTCTTGGAAAAGACAATGACAGCGCTAAATGTTTGGACTATTTAGCATATCCAACCAATTGTAACTAGTAATAAATCATGCATTAATAGACAAGTTTTTTTGCATAATCTACATAACTTGGCTCATATGTCTGCTTCAGCATTGAACAGATACAAGTTACAAACACATGGTACATGACATCATGTTCTCCACATTTCTTGAATAAACCAAATATTTGTTTAATACATTTAACCCTAAGGTCGTTTTTTTTGCTGTCAAAAAAATATTTTGGAAATATATGAATATGCATATATCACACGTCTGGTCATGGTTGTACTTCTTGATACTGAGGGTGCAACATTATCAAAATGCATACATTAAAAATTTAAAAAAAAATCTTCCCAAAGGCAGTTGTTTCTGTCATTGATAAGGCACATACTTTATTTATTGGGAAGGAAAAAAAACTGTGGCTCTTGTTTTTCTGTTGTAAGCCGTAATTTCAGGAAAATGAAATGTGGCAAAAAACTATAAAATGCAATGTGAAGCAAGCCACAGTTAACATGAATTCCACTCAAAATTGTAATTGATATTCATAATTTTCAGTACGCCCTGAAACAAAATTGTGCCTTTGGTTGCAATGTGAAGTTCTTGCTAAATAAATCACAATAAATAAAATCCAAATTAAAGGGTTAAACAATGAGCATGAAAATCAGTTCGCCAATTCCCCAGTATCACCCTTGTTTTGCAACTTGACATAGAACACAGATTTTCAATACAGGAGAGTAAGGCTGTGTCAAAGTTACTAAGCTACATGTACATGTATGGCCAGCATTTACTGAATCCACTCCTCACAGAGACACGTCTTACAGCTGTAATCAAGTAAATCGGATGCAATCTGATACACATCTGAGCTTTAGGGGAAATAATGGCTTTTTAACATTTATGAGAAAAAAGTAGCGAGTCCAGCTGATAGTTTGCAGTTTCTAAACAGCCCGATACCAAGCCAGCTCGCCAAGGGCTAAGTTAAAACTCATCAGTGATAGCAATTCCGAGTTTGAATGACTTGGCTGTGGCTAGCAGTTGCGCACAAGTCTATGCAAAGTATGGGAAGTGACTGTAGCCGCTTCCATAGGTGCATGTGTCATTGCTAGCCGTAGCCATGTAATTCAGATGTGGTCCAACATAATATCCTACATGTACATGTACGTACATCCATTTCATCAACATCGTTCAGTCTTTAAATTTTATACCAATAAATCTGCACAAGCCTTCATCAATTTCAGATTATCATGTTGCTGACTCACCAATTGGTTGTGCATACTAATTGAGATCTCGTTAATTTTTCATTTCTGCAATAAATTTCCATTTTGCAGTTTCCTAATATAAATGTACAGAAACACACCGGTGACGTCTACATGTATACAAACCATTTCTAAAATGCACTTCAGTGATTTTACAATAACTATCTGTTTCTCTGAACTCGTGTTTCTCTGCTTTTTTTGTATAAAAAAAAAATTACATTGGGAAAACATACAGCATGAGGCAAAAAAATGTCGTAACTAAACATTGTTTTCTTCTTATCAAACCTAATAAATAAATAAAAAAACACTAAAGGTTGCAGATCATTCCAATGAAACCTTAGAAAAAGCTAATACCGGTAGATTGAACTGAAGAAGTGAGTTTAAATGCGTAATATATTTACAGTGTTATTGTGTTTATCGCCAATGTTATCATTTGTTGAAATTAACGAGCCTGACGTTAAATTCAATCCAAATAAATGTACATCCAAATAATTTTTTTTCCAGCTCTGGAAATATGGAAGACTAGATTCCACAGCAAACAGTTCCAGGCACCTTCACATTTTTCATATTTGAAGGCATCTTCAACTATTTCAAATTATTCTTTAATATATAATTTACAAAACAAAAGATTCTACCTCCAATTGGAAAACTATATTTTTTGTTCAGAAACTCCTCAAAATTAAAATTGGCACATTTGCATTAATTTCTTTTATAAAGGTTTGCGTAACAATCAAGAAAAAAAATCTGAGGTTTTCATATGACAAAAGGTTTTGTAAGGCACAACTAATCGCGGAAGACTTCCTATCAAAAGCACCTACCTGAAGCATCATTCCAAAATATAAAATCTACTTGCACGAACATCTACTGTTAGTCCTTTTCACACATTACAATTTGGTTTCTCTGTTACACTTTCACAGAGGCCCTTTGAGATATGCTTACTTCTGATGAAGTTTACATCATGACTTTAAAAATTTTGCAAGGAATGAGTGAGATACTTTCCCATGGGATATGCATGAGTGTTTGTCACATTGTCAGTGTTCCCAATAAGCAAAATTGAGAGAAAAGTTCAGTCGTTTTTAAGTTTTTGTTCATTGTGGGCTTTTTCAACACCAATACCATCCCGACCCCTGCACAACTAAATCTATATTGCATAGTCGAAACAGTTTTTGTTTTGGTACAGAAAAAGACACCACCAAGACGTCAAAGGGATGAACAAAGTCGAGATGAATTTTATGCAAAGATGTGCCATTCATTGAATGTCAGACGATAACAATTGAGTGCGTAGACCCTGAAACGAATGAGACTGATTAAACCACTCATCAGTATGGACTCTGTTCACGAACAGTAGACGGTGATTTTTCCAAACCCTTTCAATTTCAAACTCCAGCACGAGGGCACACCACGTTCACGGAATGGTTCTCGCGCAACTGATTCCATTTTATGTGATCACAAATAAATGCGTTCCAACATCCATTCCAGTGGTCTGTCCAAATTCTCTCTTTGTTACCGTTGAGGGGGTACTTCATACCTGTGCACTGAGTCCATAATGCAACCATTCAACCATTTCTGCAATTTGACTTCCTATTTCATAGATTGGTGAGACTGTAAAACTTATGGCTGCCTTGCGTTCCCTGAAACACTGACTTATGTCAGCATAAAGGCAAAAAGTATTCACTAAATTACTGAGAATATGCCACTTGACCAAGTCTTAGCCACATCCCTGTCCTTCGCTGTATGACTCCGTCCGTGAACACAAGAGGGCGCTCTACATAAACGCATGCAAAGGACACACTGCAGGTTCACGCATTCTGTTCGCCATGTCTTCAATCTTCACATACTAACTGTGCACGTGGCAATTTCCTCCAATAATCTTTCAATATCTGAATACTGGTTGCTCTATCACAGTTTTGCCATTGAGCAAATAGCGGCGCACACAAATCTGCACACATGCTGTAATTTCTCTCTAAATCGGTGATCTTTAGCAAGTAAACTAATGCCACACTGTAGAATTGGCACTATGCCAACTGTGAGTTAGATGCCTTGTGTGTCGCAGCCTACGTCTGAGGTGATGTGCTGTCTAATAAATTGCGTGAGTTGACAATCCTCAAATCTTTCAAACCGTCTCAAAATTGTACGGTTCGTCACCATGGTAACACTGATCCCAATCCGATGATCACATGACCACGCAGCTGTTTTCGTCTTTTCCTTTGCCTTTGCCCGTGTCCTTGGCAGACGACGATGACGAGCTTTTCCCCAGCTGGTCTCTGCTGTCCAGCAGCTTCTGGTCTGTCTTGGATTCCTTCAGGCCATACTTCTCCCGCATCTTGTTGCGTTCCACTGCCCTCTCCGCTTTCTTCTTCAGCTGGGCTTCATCCCGCTTGGCTCTAAAAAAGTATGACAACAATACAAAAAAGATGATGAATGGATAACATTCAAAAGTTGACCTCTGAAGAAATTTCTTTATCAGTTTTGTTTTGTTTTGTCTTTGTTTATTTTTTTCAAGGAACTGAAACGGAGCACTTCACAACCAGTATCGGCAGCTCATCTGCCTTTTAACAATATTTTCAACCAAGAAACAAATCCCAAACCTGGCTAAGCCACCGGTCATTTTTTTAACGATGGTTCCATTTGAAAAAAAATCACACAATATGCTCTGGGCATCATCAATTGCTCACTGAAAAATGTGTACATGTAGTTGCAACTGGGCTAAAACTGAAATGGGGCAAAAAAGCATGATTGCAGTGTAATGCTGACAGTCATGATTCTCACATTTATACATGACCCCGTTAGTTGCTTTTTGTCTTCAAGTAAACTGGAATCCCTGATCCTGATTGGTCGATCCATGGCATCCCATATACCACACTCCATATACCACAGCAAATATCACGCTATTCTAAGATGCACGCCCTGTTCCTGCTGCACGCATTTGATAACTGCTGAAACGTTCGTGTCGATCCAGCCTGCGCGTGTTCCGTCTTTACTGTGCATCAAGTTTGCTTGAAGATAATTTCATCATCCCACTTGCGCTCTTGGAACATTGCAAATGTAGTGCATACCACTCAGTCTTTGGCCTTTATAGGTCTTTGTAGGTCTTTGTCTTTTAGTAGGATGTCCCTCTTGTGTATTTTGCTTGTCCTCCTTGGATGGTCTTTTGAGAAGGTTCGTTATGAATTTCAAAATTTTTAAGATGGGATTATGAATGCTTACTTCTCCCTGGCAGCTCTGTCCTCCTCATCCTGTTCTCGTTTGTAGTCGTACGGCTCATCCTCTTTCTTCTCCTCCCCGGACAGACCGATAGTCTTAGTGATGCTGGATACTTGGTTCTTGACCAAGGCCTTGCCCATCATATCCATGGTGACAGCGTGTGTGGTTGGGACACTCTATCTGGTTGTGATAATAGAGTGCGTGGTAAATGAATGCCTCTCTTAAAATGATTTTCAGGATTTTTATATTTTTTGGTGAAATTTGTGATGCTGGTAATATTTAAAATGTTCTTTAAAAGTTTCAAACTGAAACTTCATAAAAAACCACTTTAGAGATTCATGTAATTAAAAAAAAAATATGACACTTGTGTCCAAGATTTTCTCCTGAAATGACGCAAAATTAGCATGACATTTCAGACAGTCCGATTTCAAAATTTACTAACTTCGCTTTGGAAAAGTTTAAAAAAACAAAGTGGCGTTTGAAAGAGCAAGGTCTATATTTTACTAATATTGCAATAACTCAAAACTTGCTTTCTTGCCCTTAAGTGCCTGATTTTGACATACAACGTCACATATGATTCAATGTTAAATCTGAGAAATTGACTTGTGACCCAATATTGTTGGTATGTTGGCCTATCGCCAGACTACAAAGGATAAAAATAAACAAATATTAAAAACATTAAAATATAAAATAAAATTATTGTAATCCAGATAAAAATCATAGGGAGGAAGGGTGAACATATATATTACATATTTCCTCCCCTCCGTCCCCCCCCCCCCCCAAAAGTTAAAACTCCCTACATCTTGATGTACATGTAATGAACATTATTTGAAAATATGCTTACTCTATTAATTAAACTTTTAGCATTTTGCCCAAAGTATTACTTGGACCACGGATCCTCTACACAAGGATAAACGACTCATCTAAGCTTGTGAACATGTAGACAGCATAGAACATGTAGAACAATGCGTGCAGCTAGCTGGCACCTGTGAACATCTCGCGCATGTGCACGCACGACGCGAAAGGTCCGTATCACTCATGTACCCAGAAATACGGGGAAGTCATTTATTTTTGTTATGTGTAGAGGATCCGTGCTTGGACTAGTACAAAAAAACTTCAAATAGCCACTTGACCTTACCTTGCATATAAACCAAACTGCACTCCTCACTTGTCAATTGCTGGCTCCATACAATCCCACAAACTATGGAAACGGGAGACACACCATCACCTTATAAATGCAGGTACCTGTCCAATGAGAGGAGACAGAAATTTCCAGAAAATGTATACGATACAACTGTAATCCAGATGTATTAAATAACATCATAATTAAAAAAAAAAGTTTTATATTTTCTCTGCGTCATTTGCAGATTTCCAGCAATTAAAAATTGTATCCGTGGTGACGGATGTGTCTGAAATACACCGTGGCATGACGTATTTTACAGAGAAAGCCTTCCACGCACAATTTTGCACCATATGGCTGTGTTTCGGGTTTCTCTCATTCTGAAAACTTAGTCATCCTATATTCCACAGATATCACTGTAGAATATAGTCACTGTGTTTGATCCAATTATAAATGCATAGATACTCACGTAAGTGGGCCGAACCATGCATAAATGAGTAATCAGTTTGACGCAACATGTACTTTTTCTTTCGCCAGTAACCTTCTGCCTAATTACACGCTGTAGCAGACAAACACAGTAGTACATGTACATGTACAAACATGTCCTCTAAATACCCAGGTTGTACCAGTACATTTATTTTATGACAGTCTGCATTGGATAGTGCATGCATGAATGAATACTCGCTCCGTTAAATTCTTTGAAAACAAAAGGTATACGTATGCGTTTATATTACGTTAAATTGTTATGGGTAAACCGGTATTTAAACCAAACTTTGCCATCATTTTTGTTTTTTGGTAATCTTGTAGTTGAGGACACCTCCCTTTTTTCCTAATTCAGTTCAAAAATGACTTTTGTAAATGACTCAAATTTTCCACAAAGACTTTGGCAGCCCCAAGCAGTATTTTTTTTATTGAGATTAAGTAGAGTTTTTTAAAATTGTGTTTAGTAGGCCATTTTTGGAAGAAAATGTGACTTTTTTTACGTGTTTTAGCACTTACAGATTCGCGAGTCACTGCAGTTCAAGTACTGTCATCATTTTAACCCATAATTTTTCTCATAAATAAAAAAAATGAACCTGCTGATATTCAATATGGTAGTTTAGCAAACCAAAATGTATAAAGTTACTGTTCCTGCTGGTTAACTTACTACTTTAGTTATTATTAGTTCCTTAACATAAAAGTGTCTTTTCATTCTAATGCCTAATGGGGTCCTAAACTATGATTTCCCTTTTTTTCATCAGTTCATTGGGTGATAATAAATGTTACATCATACATGAATTACTTTTAAAAAAGCTTAATTTATCAATAACTGAATAAGTAATTTTGCCTGATCATGCTAATGATTTAAAAAATATATATATATATCCAAAGCAAACTGCAAGGCAAAATGGTTATCAAAACTGCCACACACAATTTTAAAAGTGTTGCCAAATCTCCCACTCCCAGTCTCCAATCTTTCCAAAAAAAATGTTTTGTTTTAGCTTTTACTAATTCTAGCTTTTCTTTCAGTTTTACACCACAAATGAACCAAGTTAACTGCAAAATTCCCTAACCATTTGTCATTTGATCAAAACAGATGGGCATTTGAGGCGCTTTTTCAACCCCCGCCACCCCCCCCCCCCCCACAAAAGTTACGATCCGGAAAATTCTACACCCCATTCTACAGCCACGCCCCTCGAAAAGTATCACAAACTCTGAACTAGCCAAATCTCACAAGTCACAGCATCACACAAACGATGCTCCAACTGCCAGAAAATAATCTCCCAAAAATAACAATGATTTTACAGAAGCCTATATTGAATCCTGTTCAGAGCGCGGCAAATATAAAAGCCAATTAATCGCTTCAAGTTTCAAGATAAAATGAATAAATTGCGACTCACAAACGAGTCAGCTTCGTCCTCATCAAATGTCCAACCTCGTATGATGACGCAAGTTTTCGCTCATCCGTACATTATTTATATGTGGATAGAAATTTGCCCTGGGAATGATCACTAGTTGGTGATGCAAAATAAAAAGTGGTGTCATGAAAGTTGTAAATGTAATACTGAACACCAAGCCAATTTTCAAACTCAAAGTAAACACAATTGAAGTATTGTTTCGAAGTTACTTTTATAAAGCATACAAAGGGGATTTAGCTTTCGAATTGTTGTAGTCGATGAGAATAAAAGCTTTCGAATTGTTTTAGTCGATGAGTATAAATGCAATATATTTCGATACACTATAAGTTACCTCTGCATTGTACGCTTGCAACGATTGGTTACAATTCTGTTGGGAGAAACACGATTTAAGTTAATATTCTTTCGTTTTTTTTCACTACATATTTGTTTTTAAATACCAATTATTACATTTAACATATTATTATGTTGTATCAAATCCTATTTTGAGCTTTCTGTACATAAAATTTGAATATAAGGTTATGTATTTTACCTTTCGTTACAGAATCGGATCCAATCGTATCACGCCTAGTAAAACGTTAACCTTCGTGAAGTAACGTCGATGCCGTGTACTGTGTCGTTTCTAAACGTCTTGTGTCTCAGAAAAGTTTCATTTTTTTCGTCTTTGAAAACACATTTCCTTTATTCAAAGGCCACGGATGTATTTTTGAATACATTTTCTGAGGGTAGATGTATGATGGACTATGAATATCAATTACTGATGAAGAAACACTAGAGTTGAAAAGTAACGTTAAGCTCGAAAAATATTTTCAACATGGCGGCCCCCATGGGTTTGTCAAAGCGTGACTTGGACGATTTACGTCCAACGGTTGATGACATCGTGCGAAAGGTCTTAGGTTTCTCTGAGCCCAGCGTAACAATTGCCGCCCTGAATTGCATTGGTAAAGGAATGACAAAGTTAAAAACAGTTGGTAAGTTCAGTTTAAATTATCTACTGCCGGCCTAGCTGGAGTTACCCAGCCCTAAGTTTTATCATATGGGTTGTCTATAAGGGCTGGAGCGTATTTTTCTCATAAGTAGTAGTATATTCAAAAAAAATTTGGAAAATGTTCAATTTTGTCCCCGTTACACACTAATTGCAACTGCAACTCACCCCAAACTTGCCTGGAATAACCATTACACAGGTCCTTGAAGTAAAAAACGATCCACGATGAAGATTCAGCCTACAATTGCAGTGAAAACAGGAGGAATAACCGCTAACTTGACAACCTTTCAGGCATGGCCAGGACTGCTATGGAATTGTGCACACAAAAAAATTGTGTACAATGAATGGCGGCGGTCGATTACCACCACGTACAGCTCGCTGGTACTACGCGTTTTTGCGGTCGGTGCATGACGTGACGCGGAAGCGTAATACCCGATGACTGTTTCATGCATTAAGAAGAGGTTCACTCGCATCACAGTGCGGTACTGGAACGGCAACCGTCGAGTTGGCCGGCTATCGTGCATTCGTAGTGCAGTGTTATTTACTCGACGGTTGCCGTTCCAGTACCGCACTGTGATGCGAGTGAACCTCTTCTTAATGCATGAAACAGTCAGCGGGTATTACGCTTCCGCGTCACGTACGTCATGCACCGACCGCAAAAACGCGTAGTACCAGCGAGCTGTACGTGGTGGTAATCGACCGCCGCCATTCATTGTACACAATTTTTTTGTGTGCACAATTCCATAGCAGTCCTGGCCATGCCTGAAAGGTTGTCAAGTTAGCGGTTATTCCTCCTGTTTTCACTGCAATTGTAGGCTGAATCTTCATCGTGGATCGTTTTTTACTTCAAGGACCTGTGTAATGGTTATTCCAGGCAAGTTTGGGGTGAGTTGCAGTTGCAATTAGTGTGTAACGGGGACAAAATTGAACATTTTCCAAATTTTTTTTGAATATACTACTACTTATGAGAAAAATACGCTCCAGCCCTTATAGACAACCCATATGATAAAACTCAGGGCTGGGTAACTCCAGCTACTGCCGGCCGGTATTAAATTAAGTAACGTACGTAGCCATGGTAGCACAGGCCGGTGTCATGGGTGTCATAATAATGAAAATCCGACTCCTATGAAAATTTGACTCCTTTTTATTTTATCATATACCTTACACGTGACAGGTCACTCTCCCATAGATCCTAAAAATAGCATATTATCGTAGGCCTACTTACGCAAGCGCAATACTACCAACATGACCAATGTCATGAGGATGGAGTCGGATATTCACACTACACCGGCAGTTGACCATGTCGACCGTCTGGTTCCCTGACCTGATTTGACTTTAGCCCTTGCCGAATGGTTATCTGAGACTTTATTTCCCTTTTAAAAATATGCAGGTATTTTTCAGGCACCTAACGTTAGGCAAGTGCAACAGCTGACGGAAAAAATGTTGCAACCTGACACCACTTCCGCGATTGTGTACAAAGTTAATGGAGAGTCAAGAAAATTGGAAATGTTTCTCAGTCCCAGATTCATGTCTTATCATTGTTGCAATGAACGACCTTCATTGAGATGATATATGAAGAAAAAAGTGGCTAGAGCATTGTAGAGGTTGCAATATTTTTTCCCAGCTGACCATCATTGAGGGTAAACATGGTGAGAAAAGTCATCAGGACACTGCATTCTTCCCCCTGTTTTTAAACAAAGAACCAGCTATGTATATTATGTATACAGAATGTCCATCACCTGATCACTAAGTTAATACTATGATGTGTGTTCTATTGTTTTGTTTTTAGATTTGTTGAAACCCCTGATTGAAGAATCTGCACCCAAGTTTGTGGAGAAGTTATTTGAAGCTATCGAGCGGAGCCACAGCAGTCGCGATGAACACAAAGCAAAAAAGAGGTCAATCAAAGTAAGCGAATGTAACTTGAATGTTAAACATCACTCGCACAGGATAAGTACAGAAAACATGCAGCATGATGCAACAGTGGCATTGTTCAATGGGACTAGCTGTTTCAGATTTGGCAGTTTTACTGGTGTTGATAGCTCAATGCAACAAGGTCCCACAGACTTTTACACCTAATGCACTGTGTTGCATGTGGCAAGGATAGTATGCAAATTAGGAAGCATTTTGAAATGTAAAAAAACTAGGTGGGTCAGAGCTGTTCAAAATTAATTTTCCTATTTTCACGTTTTGTTTTTAGGATGAGGATGGCATTGATCTCAAACCTAAGAAGCTCAAGTCGAGGTTTGACAGCAGTGATATCTCCGAAGAGGAGCCGGCAGTCGCGGAGCAGTGGACTCCCCAGCAGATCAAAGAGATGATGGCTACGGCTAGACTGCAGATTATGGCCAAACGAGACCAGACGGTACGTGTCAAATCAGCTTAGGATCAACATTTGGACTTGGTTTTCAGTCCTGATTCTGTGGATTTTCCCCAGGAATAACCTACCAAGGTTTCCTCCCACCTCTAAACCTAAATGTTTCTTTATCTTCTTCTCCTTCTCCTTCTAGGTCATTTCAGGCTAATGGCCTATAGTGCTTGAGCTCTTCTGAAGAATCCGCGATTTTGTAACCAAAATAAAACTTTGAAGACCAATCATCAACCCAGACCATTGCAAATCATCAAAAATCAAATGCATGAATAAGTAGCATTTTGACAAATTCAGGACTTGGTATCAGTTTAACAAAGCACCATGTAAAATCTAGTAATACACAACTCCTGATATGACTCCACATGATGACAAGAGCACGTTCGTCTAAATGTTGTTTACAAAAATAATAATACATTGCAATAATTCTTCAGAGTACATGTTTATTCTAGAGTGGATGGATTAGGCATAGCAGGGGTGAGATTTGTCAGCATTTTTCCTTGCTGCAGGATTTTTTTTGTCAGGATTCTTACTGATTTCAGGATTTTACAGAATCCCTTTTGAAATTTGGAATTCCTGAGGTTTAACCTGTAAAAGTGTTTTTTACCTATTTTAGGGGTGCCTCAAGTCAAATTCATACAAATATACACCATAGACTGTAGGTTGCTCTGGGGCCCTCTGCTGAATATTTTTCAACTTCTCTCAATCTCACCCCTCAAATGGAGGGATTGGCAATGAAGGGTATAGAAATAACCTTCCTTTTTGCTCTTTTTTTGGCCAAACTCTATTTACCTTGCCTTGTTGTCTTGATTTCTGAATGCATCTAAACATATGTTACAGTGTTACAATAATCTCCCTAATATTTGTTTTTTGTTTTTTTTTGTGGCGACAGCCTTCCAAGCCTCAGCCTCAGCCTCAGCCTCGACCCCCACCACCCCAAGCTCCACCTGCCCCTCCCCCTGCCGCCCCCACCTCCCAGGTCCTGATGAACGAGGCCTTGGATAAAGCCAGACGGGCTGCGGAGATTCAGAGCCGAATCCAGGCTTCCATGGCCACAGCAGGGCTGGGGCAGCTGGTGCTCCAGCAGGCACTGGCTGGCGTCAGCATGAAGCAGGCAGAGAGACCGCAGACTGGCGATAAACCTCCTACGCCGGTCTCAAAGCAAGTAGAATTTTAATACTTTCTGTTCTTCCTTACCAGTTTAACCCTTACCACACCAACTCCATCAAAATCCATCGCCCCATTTTGGTGGATTTTAGGGGATTTGGTCCAGAAGGCCTGTCGTGGCACACAATACATCTCTTCTTGTGACCGATGTTGTGAGAACAAAAATTGTGCTTGCCTGCTTGGGTGTGAATCAAACCTAGGACCATCTTCTTTCAAGTGCAGGTGTCTTAACCCTCCTGCTGTTTAAAAGGTCACAAAAGTTTCCTTCCACTTTCCCTGGTATACTTTTAACAAACCAATGGGTCACTTGACCAATATCGACCCAAGTAACAGCATGGCTCAGAATGCATGTTTTCATTGCAGGGTTAACCATTTGATCACTGAGCTTTAATACCTGGGTACCTGGCCTATTTGAATTAATGATACCTGTGGCTTCCACAATCAACGATTTCTGAAGACATTTTTATCAGGGAGTGAGAAGTTTTAATACCAGTTTTGCCCTTTCCTGATGAGCACTGTATGCTCAGTGGAGCAAAAGAGAATTTGAGAACAAGTTTTTAAGCTTACTAGGGTGAGATTGGAACCAACTACCTGCTAACTAGTGCAGACGCTTTATTGCTTGATCGCTCAGCTGTCTGGGATGGCTGTCCAATTCAAATCCAGTGAAGCAGCAGGTACCAACATCAATCATTGGCAACAGCCGATAGCCACTATTGTCTGGTGAATTTTTAGGAGCTCAAGCAGTGGATTCCAGTTGTTGGATTGTTTAGTTTGCTATTGTAGGGTTCTGTTGGTTTTAACAGGGTATGTGGGAAACATGCAAAGGGCTCAGGATTGACACTGAATGTGTAGTTGATGTTGTCTTCAATTTCTGTCTTGTTACAGACCCACGCCTCTGATTTTGAATGAGAAGGGTGTGACCGTGGATGCATCCGGCAAGGAGATCACACTAACGCAACGGGTGCCGACATTAAAGGTAAGTACTCGATGAGCAAGCGCACCTCAGTAATGGCGTCTAATAAGACATCAAAGTCTGTACACCTAAACACTTCAAGTGATCAGTATATGCACCTTAACTGTCAAAGATGTATTGGTAGATTATAATAATTTATTATAGTCTTGAATAAAGACATTGACATAATGGGGATCGCCAACATAGGGCTGGATTGCTCAGTTGGTAGAGCACCAGAACGGCAATCCGGAGGTCGCAGGTTCATACCCTGCTCTAGTCAATTTATTTGTTCAACTTTAAAATGGAAGATTTATTGAGTTTTAATATTCATTATGTTTTTCTCTTCATTGATGTAATGTTATGAAATACTATGTAGAGAGATAGCAGCCAAGGTTGATTACCTCAGGGGGATAGTTTTACTATACCACATCAATAGTTGTGTGTGTAAAAGAATTTTGCATGGGATATATTTTGTGGTTATCCCATGCCAATATCCGAGCCAAGAGGAGAGAGACATAGCAGCCAAGGTTGATTACCTCAGGGGGATAGTTTTACTATACCACATCAATAGTTGTGTGTGTAAAAGAATTTTGCATGGGATATATTTTGTGGTTATCCCATGCCAATATCCGAGCCAAGAGGAGAGAGACATAGCAGCCAAGGTTGATTACCTCAGGGGGATAGTTTTACTATATCCCTCAAAGTAGTCAGTAGTTGTGTATATATAATGGAATTTTGCCTGTGATATATTTCTTGGTTATCCCAGGCCAATATCCGTGCCAAGAGGAGAGAAGAATTCAAGATTAACCAAGCAGAGAAGCCTCAGGATGCCGTCAGCGAAGCGTCCAAATTCTTCGACTCCAGCATTGCCCAGGCCCCGGCCCAGCGAACCCGACGAGGATTCAAGTTCCACGACAGGGGACGGTTTGAGCAGCTAGCCCAGAGGGTTAGAGCCAAGGTAGGACTAGATAACCGTCAGAGAATTTCTTCTTCCGGGTGTACAGAATTATTTATTTGGAGTTGGGCACTGCTGGCCCTCAAATGTTTCATGTTTCAGCCACAAATAAAGTGTTCTACCAAGTTTCAACTTTCAGTGGTTAAACTCTTTTCCTTAAATAATTTAGATAAGCCATAGATTTATGGAATATATTTGGGTTTTTTGTTTGTTATGTAATTGTTTGATTGCTTCTGATCTACAGTCCCAGCTTGAAAAACTTCAAAGCGAGATTGCTCAAGCAGCGAAGAAAACCGGAATCACGTCAGCAACGAAACTAGCTCTCATTGCACCTAAAAAAGAATTGGTAAGTTTAATCGTAACAAGTTTATTTACTGGCCAAAGCATCATTCAAATGATATTTTCATTGCTGCCTCAACGTTTCTGTAACATTTCTTAATCAAAGCAGGCAATGTTATATTACTGGCCTGTTGGCAAATCGTTTGTTTGTCAGCAAATATGCCACAGCAAATAGGGCCGTATATTGTCCGAGAGTGTCCAAGATCTGCTCTGAACAGCGCCCCCATTAGTCACATGTTGTCCACCCCAATTCCCCCCCCCCCCTATTTCCGATTTTGCTGTGGTAATGTGGCCAGAGGGTCGGTATGCAAATTTGTTGGTCCCCCCCCCCACCCCCCCCCCCTTCACATTGGTCTGGCAAAGACCAAAGGCCATCAGTGATTTATTTCACCTTACATTGGCAAACCACAGAGAGAAGGTGAGATACCAGACACGGAGTGGTGGGACACCTTCATCTTACCCAGAGACTCCTACCGGGACTGCAAGCGGCAAGAGGCAGGGAGCAGCAAGGGGGCCACGGAGAAATACGTGGGCATCACCAACCTGGTAGAACATCCAATCCAGATGAATCCTCCTGGTAAGGTTGCTTTCAAATCATTTCAACTTGGGACGTGAATGTAATTAATATTGATAATGTTGTTATTACGGAATTACGGAACTACAGATGTATGACATTATGGAAATATGAAATTATGGAAATCTGGAATTATGGAAATCTATTGCGATACTTGGTGAGGAATAAAAAAAAAAAGACCAAAATGTAAGGTAACTTGAAAAATTGATACCCCTACCTCTATCTACAGCTGAGATGACCACGACAGTCACCATGCCCATCTACCTGACCAAGAAGGAGCGAAAGAAACTCCGCAGACAGACCCGACGAGAGATCCAGAAGGAACAGCAGGAGAAGGTCCGCTTGGGGTTGGAGCCTCCGCCTGAACCAAAAGGTAATTAACTTCAAAGGTTTGGGGGTACTTGCTCTTTACGTGGAATTGCTTTACGGGAATTTAAAAATATATTGAATTTAAAAATAATTGTTAAAAGCCACCACTTCATCAACTTAAAGTTTGTTTTGTGATTACCAGGAGAAGAACTATACAATGTTGAAGTTTGTGTTTCTGGAAACTGGTAAAAAAAAATTGTAATTTTTAAAATGAAGGACAATTAGTTATTTCTCGCCTATATTTCTCATATTTTCTCGCTTTTCTGCAGAAAGTTGAAAAATGTTCAAATTTTTTTAGAGGAGCACAAAACGGTGCTGAATCTACTCATGCTAATTTTGTTCACTGTTTTGTTTGTCCCTGTAGTGAGAATGGCCAACCTGATGCGTGTCCTGGGCAACGAAGCGGTGCAGGATCCGACTAAAGTAGAGGCTCATGTCCGAGCTCAGATGGCAAAAAGACAAAGGTAGGCTTGTAAGACACAAGAAACAACTTTTAGTCTGTGAAAATGTTCATGCATTTGTGTCAAAAAAATTTTTTTTTAACTCGACACTTGAAATTTGCTTTCTGTATAAGATTTGGTATTTAGCAAAAAGCACAAATAAATAGATTGGAATGTACTCGTTAAAGGGAATATACATCATTTGCTTTTACTGTAATTTTCAGAAATGGATGGAATTGGGGGGTTGGAAATATATATCAAATATAGTTACACTGACTTTTTTGAGGTTTTGGGTTCGAAAATGCTATACAAACCAAGAAAAACAATCATTTTCCTGTAGTCTGGTTCCCTGACTCCATATAAGAAGAAACACAGCAGTTTACATACATTAAGGAATTGTAAGGTCAGGGAACCAGTCTAGCTGGCTCGTACCCGTTCATAGGTTTGTAATCGATTGCAAACAAGTGCGATGGTCAATTGGGGCCAGTATTTGAAAAAAAAGCCAGTTTTTTTCCAACGCTGATCGGCCGATCAGCGTTGGAAATTGATACAAAAATACCACTTTTCTTGAAAATGACAGTATACCAGGTGCCATGATTTTACATGATGCTTTACACTGTCATTCACTAACAGTCCAGCAAGGTATTTCAAAATGATTTGGTATTTTTTTTTTCGATGTTTGCAAATGTTGTATTTTCCCTTTAAAAAAAATATCACAATGACTCTTCCCAAAATTTGGCTTAAACGTGATCATTGTGAACCCCTTCTACCTGGTGATCTCGAACTAAACCACCTTGAAATCTCCAACATCCTCCTCTGAACCAGAAACAAGTGTCATATTTTTGTAAAATTGTAACTTACGAGGGGCATGAAGCCTCACCTACAGTCATACTGACTGGGCTGCGCTTTCCTAAATCCTGCAAAATCCTTCCTTGGTAGATGCTGAAGGATTTGGGACGGATACAAGGTTGATGGGTTACTTTTTTACTCAAAAAGTAATCTTGGTGAGTTTTTATTTTTTAATAACCCTCCTTCCCCCTCCAACATTTTCACAATCTAGAACTCACGAAGAGGCCAACGCCACCCGCAAGCTGACCGCCGACCAGCGCAAAGAGAAGAAGATACGTAAACTGAAGGAGGACACGTCATCGGGTATCCACGTCTCCGTCTACTGCATCCGAGACCTCAGTAATCCCGCCAAGCGCTTCAAGATTGAGGCCAACTCCAACCAGCTCCACATGACGGGAATGGCCATCTCACACAAGGACGTCAACGTGGTGGTCGTCGAAGGAGGTTGGATCAAAAGAAAAATCTCTTAAAAATATCCTGCGTAGCTTTTGGGCCAAGAATTAACTCTGGGAACGAGATATATAGACTGATCGGCTAACGATATTTTGACGGATCACAGCCGTGACTGTGAAGTGGACGGTGCTTCTGACAAAACTGGAACAGTCAATTGTACCGCCCCAAACCACCCTGCCTATTACTCCCTGTACTGCCCGAAACCGCTCAAGCACTCAATGGTTTTGTGGATTTTTCAGTGAAAAAATACAATTTAGTAGTATGTAGTACATGGGCTAAACAGGTTTATTAGACAGAGCAAGATTATTGGCTGGGTTACCACATTGACTCATCATCTCTAGTTTGTGCCATTTCAAGCAGATATACATGTATCAGATCATTGTTCACAAAGAGTTACTACTGGCCCATCTCCATTCATATCTGGTATGAGTTGCGGACATTGTATCAGGCATAAGTTGCAGAATTCTGAACAACTTCCCCGCAGTCTGCCCACAGTGAAGTTGTCAGTATTGGCGAGTCAAGCAGTTGCTGATGAAAATTTTCCTGGAACATGTCCGGGACAAATGCCGAGCTTCTTCCAGACAAAGTGAATGATTTTACCCACAACTTGGGCTGGAACTTGTCCCGGATATGAATTAAGACGGGCCAAAGTTTACCTTGCCACAACATTAGAAATGGCTTCACTCTGGGAGATTCCTCTTCATATGAAGTGTTGACTTCCAGTTTTCATATAACACAAACCGGGGACGATATTTGAGAGCTGCTAAGCACTGAAAATACTTGCTTTATTAAAAAAAAAAGCCCCTGGCCAATGTGTTCTGCAATATTTATTCTCTTTTTACCGATTCTCAGCTAATTCTCATTCAGCACATCAAACTATCCCAAACTTATGTATAAAATTTCTGCTTTAAGCCCATGAAACTTTCACCTGTATCTTGTGAAAGCCAGTGATGTTTTGAGTCTTATTTTCATGTTTTATTTCATATTTGTCTTGGTGACAGGGCCCAAACAGCAGGGGAAGTTTGAGCGTTTGATGATGCATCGGATTAAATGGGGAGAAGACAAGAAGAGAGGAGCCGATATCGGTGAGAAACCCCAAATTTCTTAGCCTTTTCTATCCTTTTGCCAAAAGTCGGAGACCTTTGATTTTTTCGTGCGCTCCGGAAGTTCACCTGTGGGGAAATAAATTGTGTAACTATTTTCAGTTTGGCATGTATACTTTTTTTGCGAAAGAGTTTCTCTTTTTAACAGAATGGTGTAATCTGAAATCATACATCGCTTAGAGACACAAACTTGTCCCCAAAACTAAACAATATTTCTTGAATTTCTGCAGTCTACCCCCAAAAGCAAATAAAATATCAGTAAATCATGACCAACTATGTGTACTGTAGACTTTCTTGCACTTGTTCACAAAAGTTGATTTGTTGTTGTGTGATGCCAATTTTCTGCATACTGCACGTAAAAACTAATCTGGGCACGCTACACCTTCTATCACAGAGGCCTCCTTCAATGGTGAAAGTATTTTGCTAGCTATTCAGATAAGCTGTCATGGGGCAGTTGTTTTGTAAAATACCAGGCACAATGCTTTCGCCATTAAAGTTGGCCTCATGAGTGTACAGTGTTTACGTGCTTAGATTCGTCTATACCACTAGGAATGTGGGTGCTTTAAAAGTACTCACAAATAGGGAAATGTGGGGAAATAGAAAGAGGAACATGCCTGTGTGGCGGTCATCAACCACTTATTGTATTTTCACATATTTGTATTTTTGGTGATTAATTTTGATTTGAATAAGCGCAAAAAATAATGAACTGAACTGAAATTGATATTCAAACTTTTACTCTTTATCTTTCTTTCTGTCACAGACTCAGATGACTCCGACAATGAGTCGGAGCCGAAAGTCAACAAGTGCGCCCTCGTGTGGCGGGGTATGGTCAAGCAGCGCTGCTTCAGCGAGCTGAAGTTCAAGCTGTGTCCAACAGAGTCCATGGCGAGGGAGCAGTTCCGTAAGCACGGCGTGGAGCACTACTGGGCCCTGGCCCACGGACAGCGCATCCTGGAGGCCACGGAAGATGCGTGAATGTCTTAGAAAACAAAGAGGGATGGTCACCTCCCCTACGTGATTCTTGTCAAAAGCCTGCTGGAAAATGTGCGGTCAAGTTTGATTGGTTCTTTGGGTTTCTTCCAAATGATATGTGACCCAGTCCAACAAAATGAGTCTTGAGTTGCCTGAGCTACTTATGAGTTACAGATTTTTGAACGGAATACAGTAGAAACTCTCAGTGTTTTCACTCCATAATCACCCGTTTGTCATACTAAGTGATATATTGAAATGAAGAGCGAAGTTTAATTGTTTAAAATGCATAGGGGATTTGAAAAAAGTCCTTCAGATACACTCTAAAATGCGCCAACAGTTGGCTAATATGTTCCAAATTTTGTGGACAGCAGAATATTGGGACCTGATCTATAGCATGACATCTTGAGTATTATGGGGGACAGGTTGAACAATTTGTCTCTGACCAGAACTAATCCTCATGTTTCTGGATCGGTTACTTGCAAGAATAAATTTTGGCAACTTACAACTCATTTCACAGAACTTGCTCACATACTCGTGTCGATGGAAGTATTTTGGACTGGCTCAAGTCCGAATCATATGTTATTTTTTTCATTTGCTTACAAGTTTAATTTTGTTTTGTGTAAACTCTTTCCCAGAAAAAGGTCACTTGGAATTTAAAAAACAAATGGAAGAATTTATTGTAAAGAGCATTTCGTATTTGTTTTCATATTTTTCTCAGAGCCCACATTGTATTAACAAGGAACAATTAAAGTAACAACTGTTTTGTTGTTTGTTTTTGCAATTTTTCCCAACAAAAGTAACTACATGTACCAATAAATATTACAAATCCCCTTAATATTTATATTAGCAGAAGATATTGCTTCACTCATTGTATATTACCTTTTGAATTTGCATGTCATTTTATTTATACCAAAAATCAAGACAAATGTTAAAAGAAAAATAACCTTAAATACCCTCCTAGATGTTTTAAAATTCTCAATTTTAGGGGATTTGGGGGATTGAAATGGCCCTTAAAACTCAAGTTTAAAAAAAATACCACCATTTTTCTACAAAACAAAAGGATTGCAGAGAATTGGGGAAGGTTCCTCAACAAAATATGCTTTGCCTCACTACGCATGGTTCTTGTTACCCCAGCAATCCTGTGAGAGCATGATTCGCTTTGAGCCTTTTCTTTCTCTCTGGTTCTTTCTAGAACTCGTCTCATCCAGAACCTTCATATATCTATACACCTCGGTATATACACACATCCAGAACCTTGACTGCAGAGGATCATTTATACCATGCGACACCACATGGTAAGCAGAGAGATGCAATTTTAGTTCCAAGGTGAGAAGACCGATTATTGTTTTAAAGAGGTTATAAGTATTTGGATTTTTTTGCATTTTTAATCCCTGATCAAAATTAACCCTCAATATAAAACTAAATGATTCGAGAACCAAGTATAGTTGCATGGATTTACTGTTCAATAACTTGCTTAATAGGATACTGGCAGCATTTTGTTTTTTATCAGAAAGTTGTAGAGATAAATTCTAAGAGCTTCGTTTTTAAAAACTCTTCTTGAGGCCAACCTAAATAAGCAAGTGTTGTTTGAAACCTGTGTCGGAATGTACATTACGTGTCGTGTAAGAAAAAATGTTAAAAGGAGGCCTTGAATATAAATTATAAAAAAAAAGAAAACAGAAAAAAAACATGTTTATAGTTTTTCCTAATTTCTTCGCTGAAGCAGAAACAGTTTAGTTCATGTTTCTAATTTCTTGAGTTCATGTGTGTGCCACCTAATTCAGTTACTTTTTCTGTAAAGTGTCAAGACTCTTCTGTACTGTAATTTTTTTTTTAATGTAAACGCAACAAAATAAGACGAGTGGGCATAAATGTGCCCCCATGATGAAATCTTAAAATTTTACACAGCCCCCCCCCCCTATTATCGTAGTTCATAACACAAGCATTATGAAGAGCAAAATTTGTACTATCTTCGTTACTGCAAAGTACTCACAATTTTTGACCACCATTGATTTTGCTACTCCAGCTAGGATTTATCCCATTTTTTTTCTTGGCAAATATCTAAAAAACAAAAAGTACCCACAGTTATCCCAATAGAGCTGGTTATAGCTCAAGCTGCCCCGCCCAGCTTATTTTGTTGGCCCCGCCCACAAGTCGCTTCCCACCAAAACTAGACACAGGTTTTCTGTTGTTGCTTTGCTACCTGTATTATAGATGTATCATGTGTGATGGCGATGGTATGGTAAGAAAATAGTGTGACGGAGCGCAACATGGCACATGCCTCGACACTGAAACAGGTATTTGTATATGCATGTATGTATTGTACTACGTTTGTTTCATTTTTGGGGTAATGGTATGTTTTATCTTTCAGGTAGTGTATGAGATAAGTTAAGAGTACATTCATTTTACTTAAGTACATTTGTCCTTTTATAATCAAGGTGATGTTACTTTGAATGACTGTTAAAGGACACAAAATACTTTGAATCGACCAGGACTCAATGTCATAGCGCTGCTTAACAGCCGATTTTCTGCTAACAGAGCCTCCGTCTATTTCATAGAGATTGTTAAGCAGTATAAAGCACAGCGAAAGCAGCTGAACCACAGAGGGAACAGTTGCTTAAATCAGTGACGTTACAATAGAAATCTCCATGTGCGCACTTGCAACCGTTAGCACGTCCACGCCATGAAATAGTGCTTAAGCAGCAGCAAGCACAACTTTTCTACTAACTTAAGCAGCGCTATGAAATTGGGCCCAGATTAATGTGAAACCAAACAAGTGAAAAGTTAATTATTGAAAAATATTTGTTACAAGGTTTTGATTTAATTTGTGCCAGACGAACCATTGTAGATTGCATTTTTGTTTATCAAACGTTTGACTAATGAATCCTCATTACAGTTGCCCAAGTTTGTTGTGTAAAATACTAAAGTATCTTTGTAAAAAAAATATTTAAATACTTGTGTTGACCACTGCATTGAAGAAACTATAAACTTTAATCAAACTACTGGCGCCATCATCTGTTGAATTTGCAAAAAATACAATTATTTTCCTCAGTCGTGAACTGCTGATTCGAGAATGACTTGGAGCAAAGTTTTGTGACATCAATTGCACCTCATAATTTTTGGGATTAAACTAGTTTATCATTTGCACTCTAAATATTCTAAACGTTTTTGTAAGTTGCAAGCGTAACAGCATTTTATCGACACAATCCGATATTTAAGAGGGACAGGTCTGAGCGTCTACGTGATTTTATTTCTGCCACAAAAGTGCCCATTTATAGCATATTCTTTCATTTCTGCCATGTGAAAAAATAAATAAAATCTGTAGTCATGAACATTACAATAATATCTCCAACGATTGTACATTATTCTGGCTTGTCTGTAGGTACATTGTAGCTGAAAAGAAATGAGTTAAGTACATTGTGTATAAGAATTTATCATATGGACTAAAATATTGTAACACTTTGAGGTGTTTTTTGTTGCATGCCTGTTAAGGGAATTGAGGGCATCACAAAAATTATACTGCTTCAGTTACACTAATTCCAAAGTCTAGGCAGATACATGTACATACTTGAAAGGTTCACTGTATTGCATACAGAGATTCTTTAAAAAATGGCTTGATGCTTGCAACATTTTTAAAAAATTAATAAAAACTGTTCCTATGAACACGTATGATTATCATCTGATGCTGTTGTTGAGGTATTGCACAAACATGCTATGCAGCCTGGACGTATCTTCGACTGGGTGCAGCTTGGTGTACGTGATGAACTGACGTCGGATTCGCTGGAGCTCGGCTGCATTCACGTTCCTCGTTAAGTTGATGTGATGATACGAAGACTGTTAAGGAATTGCCATTCATGATAGGGAAAATCTAGTTGAAAGGCAGAGACAACATTTTTGTATGCATACTTGCCCTGAACAAGGCTTAAAGCCACTCCAGGTACAGGGTTACAAGAGAAATGAAAATAAAAGTAGGTACTCAGGAAAACTAAAGGTAGGAATTAACATTCCTCTTGAAACACGACAGATCATAGGTTGGAGGGAAACGAGCATCAGGCAAGGAATTCCGAAGAAATGTAGCACGTGAAAAAAAAAACCTATGGAATATCCTTTTATTCTACATCTAGATAGCAAATACAATGTATCCAGATATACAATTTTCAGAAACTACTACAAAATAGCTTATAATTTTAGTTGCAAGTAAATTATAGTACACTGTATCAAGCATCCTGTCAAACCATAACCCCTGGTAAACTGTTATTTTTAAAGAAATAGAGAAATTTTGTGTCATTGTCCAATGATCACCTGGCCAAGCGATCATTGTAAAGATTTTCTTCCTTTCAAATACTACAGAACCCAAGTACATGTATGACTTTATAATTTCTTTTCTTCAAATAAAACACAAAGGAAATTGACTAGGTGCATAATAATGAATTTAAATTTGAACAAAGAAATTGACAGTGGGGTTTGAACCCGCGACCTCCAGATTACCGTTCCGGTGCTCTATCAACTGAGCTCCCCGTATCACGCCTGTCCGAAATGGGGTAATGGGCAGACCTTGGTAAAAGGATATTTTATCTTGCGTCCCAGGGATACCGATCGTGTCTCCAGGAAGACCTGTTTTCTGAGCTGTAATAAGTGTCTGTTGAAAAAGAAGAAAATATTCCTTAAAGCATACATGTATATTCAGTTTAAAATTAAAAAATCCCCAAGATGGCTCTGCAGTTGTGGAATTACTTTCAACATGGTAGGAACCACAGCTTCAACATACAAGTAGTTTGAAGTGCGTACTTTTTGAAAACATCATTCCTCTTTCCTGAAATGAATTGAGTATTTTGGATTTTAGGTTGCATTCGGTTTGTGACTTACGGTTACTATTTCTTGAGTAATCTTGTCCAGCTCGTGCAGGAAATTGGTTGCTGACAGAGGTTGCTACAGGAAATATGAAAGAATTAATAATAAAATCTTGGATTGAAATATACTTCCCATCATTTTCCAAGAGAATGAGATGGCTTGCAGTGTTAAAACAATGCTCTACATTGTCACATTATCGGCAAACACGGATGTTCATTATTCTGCCCTGCCCAGTTGACCACGCCCCTCAACCACACCCATACTCCCACTGTTAATGACCAAGACAGTGGATAGGCGAGGAGGCTATGCTTTCCTGCTAAAAACGGCCTCCATTTTCTAGCATAGAAAACTCAGCAACCCTGCCCCACCCATGTGGCCCCACCCCTAAACCACACCCATACTCCCACTGTTAATGACCAAGACAGTGGACAGGCGAGGAGGCTATGCTTTCCTACTAAAAACGGCCTCCATTTTCTAGCATAGAAAGCTCAGCAACCCTGCCCCACCCATGTGGCCACACCCTTTAACCACACCCATACTCCCATTGTTACTGACCGAGACAGTGGATAGATTAGAAGTTGTGCTTTCCTACTAAAAATGGCCTCCATCTACTAGCATACGAAGCTCAGCAACCCTGCCCCGCCCATGTGGCCACACCCCTAAACCACACCCATGCTCCCACTAACACTGACCGAGACAGTGGACAGGTTTGGAGGCGGGGCTTTTCTGCTAAAGATGGCATCGCATATCGCCTGGCAAGGCAGCTCATCCTCCGGATGCAACGTGAAGAGTGGGGAGTCCCAACGATTTCTGGATTCCGGTGGTTCAAACCTCATCACCAAGCCATCAAATCTGAACACACACAAAGAGAACACACCGACATGTAACTCAACTGTTATACAATCCAGTACATCATCAGCAAGCCTACAGATTGTGACCAGTTCACTAAGTAAGTCCAGTTCACTCAGTGTTTTATCATGTAAAAGTGTTCCATACTTGCTATTTGTTTTGCAAATTGTTATGGTGTTTCTTATTCAGTTAACACCTGACAAAACGGGGGTAATCTTCTTTGTTCATATATAGTACCATTTAAGTTGCTGTGGGTTTGAGGTTTCATTGTTGTTCACTACAACAGAAATTTGAGGTTTCACCGTTGTTCACTACAACAGAAATTATCAGCTGTTCCTATTCCCCAGTAGAGGCATATTTTAAATTGTTCCTTGTACACTCAACTATAGACTGGGTATAAAAAGCCTTGCAAAGGAATGAAGATTGTCATTCCTTCTTCAGCCTCTGCTCACTGCAACCAGCGTGTTTTAGTCAGTTTGGCTTGCCATGTGGTCCGGGGCGTGGCTCAGGTACATGCAGACAGCAGTTATAGACAATCATGTACATGTACAGTACCTTTACCGGGAATGGCCTACACTTGATGGATGCCTGAATAAGGTACAGTTATTAATTGATATTAATTTGTATTGATACCGGTACATGTATCATGTTATTTGTTTAAATTGGAATTGTTGTATGAACTGCCATTATTCAAAGAATAGTTTATTTTTGATTAATAAATAAAAAAAACATACTGCTTATAATATCCGCTCTGTTCACAAGTACCCCCTCACCGGCAAAGTAAGTACAGTTGGGGGTGACTGACCGACGCCATCTTGCCTGACTGCAATATTTTGCCGCGAAGCGTAGCCACTGCATGTACATAGTACAAACTACAAATCCCCTGGTGTACGTGCGTCACGCACAAGAAACGGTGGGCACGCGTCAACCAGCAAAATATATGTCCCCCGCCCATGGGACGTCAGTGCTAGATAAAAGGGCGCCCTCTTTAGTTTGCGCACGGAGCCTATAGTTGGTTTGTTGAAAAATGGTGGATGTTACAACTTATTAATTTATTCTCTTACAGGCTTCACCCTTATCTCTTAATTAGGGTTCTAGAATGCCTTCCGGGTAGTCCCTACCAGTAGTTAAGTTCTAGTATTTCGTTGTACTGTCTTGTCGTAAACCTGCAATTATTTTTGTATGTAACAGGAGGGAAAGATTCCCATATTTAGCCATCGCTAATTTTTCCCTTCAGTGACCTATCAGCCTTCAGATATCAAAATCAGCCATCAGAAAGTGATAATATAAATAACATTCAACAGGGAAAGTATCGAAGTATTTACTGGGAAAACACTTAGAAATTTTCAGACCATGTCTCATAGGGTTTGTACACAGGATGACAAGTGATGGCCAGATATGGGAATCTTTCCAACAGAAGAGTTTACCGACTGAAAGTCTCGAGTAAAATTATGAAATGAAATTGTTCTAATTATTTTGGAAAGTCTGGGAAAGCGTGTTTTCTTTAGCCAGGACGAATTTTGCTAGGGGGCCAGAATCTAGTTTGAAAATTTACTTCTTTTCCATTTGCTCTAGTTGTAAGATTTTTCAGTCAACTGCCCAATTTTTAATCAACTAACTGTCTTCAATTATTCTCCACAAGGAAGCGCTTTGGTCTTTTTAGGTTCTACAAGGTCTAGGCACAAGGTAACTCCTAGGGAACATAATGCACTCAAAGAAGAGACATTTTGTAAACTGGCTAAGTAATTACAACGATGTGAAAGGGGGGGGGGGGTTCAGATAAAATTTGATGTAAAGTTGTTTCAGGGGAAGGGAAAGTCAAGTTTTTTAACAAATTAACTGAGCGTTAAATTACACAATCCAATATTTTTCTAGTTGACTCACATTTCCTGTGTGTACTGTTCCTTCTCTGGTCTGCATGAGTTCCACTCTGAAGCAACGTCTGCGACAGTTTCACAATAAATCTGACAGGATGTTATAAAACCAGACAAATTTAACTAGAGAGCATGTACTTGCTTGCACATGTACTTCCAACAATGGCATTTGTCTTCACAATTAATTTTTCATTATCTTGTTTGAACTTTCAAATGTCATACATGGAAGTCCATAAAGTGACGATTACAAACATAAAAGTGAAGGTAATTGTACCTTCACAAATTAGTTCAGTATGCTTGTAACATCAACATACTTGCATCTGGGGGGAAATTTCACAGCAGCTTTTGAAAATGAAACTGAAAATAATTTTATATTTTACAGAAGTTAATGTCTTTCTGATTTGCCACTTACCACACAATGCGGTGTTTGCGATGACTTTACGGCGCAATATAATTCATATCTAAAACCTGAGGTGACAAAAAAACAAAAGAGAAACTCTAAGGCTAAGACCTTGGAAGGATTCTTGGCAAGATTAGAAAGCACATTTTATTTTGCACATTAATTTGTCAATGACTTTTATTTGTTTCCAACAAAATGGTAGCTATGTAGAAAGGGTTATGGCTTCTTTGGACATAATTTTATTTCCTCTCAGCAAAAAAGTCCAAAAATTGAATAATCCATCCACTGTCTTGGAAAATCTACCATCTTGAGAAAATTTTTTTTTTTTTTAACTCAATTTTTTTTTTCAAAAAGGCCGGACGGGAAACTACTTAATTTATTTACTTGGCCAAATAAAAGAAAAGTGTGCCAGGGAGCTTTGCTAATAAATTCTACAAACTCATGGCAAAAAGGTCATTCGCTTAAAAAAAGAAAAAAACTGGGGATTTACCGCAACAGCAGAATCTGCAACACATGGCACAGATGTTTTTGTCATGTAGTTTTTTTTTTATTTATAACCATGTACAATTTCCCCCAAATTTCCTGAACATTGACAATACTGTACATGTACGGTACATTGCAAAATTTCCTGTAACTGAATCCTCAAATACTAATTTGGTCACAACTTCTTTACTTGGAAGCAGGAAGCCTGGTGTGTCGCAATGAGGAATTTGCTAGGAGGAATTCATGGTGACAAAATTGACTTTGGGGTTGAACAGGGTGGGGTTGGATGAGAGAGGTACATGCACATGGTGAAGGCGGGGCAGGATCGGGTGAAGGTGGGGGGGCAGGATGGGGTGAGCTGAAAAGAGATGGGTTGGGGTAAGATGGGAATAGAGTGGGTTTGGGTGGGGTGGGTGTCTGGGTTTGGGTGGGGTGGGTGGGGCAGGGTAGAATTGAGTGGGATGGGTTTCAGGAACTGTAGACTATTGTAAAATTGTAATCCTTACCTTTGATGTAGTTCAGTGAGTCAAGGATAAGTACACTGTCCTTGGAGAGTTTTCTGTTAATGAAATTACAATAACTTGATCATGAGAAAACTGACAGCATAACTTTACAGAGCCAACCCCACATAACAATCTCTGATTCTAGTCTCTTGATGACGACTAAAGCACATTGGTTGAAAAGTTTAGTAGACCAGAGTTCAATGTGGAAACTGCTCCATCTTCGTACAGTATTCATGGTAATAAAAACCATTACACATGGTCTTTCTGCAAACCAATACCGATAACTGACGTGAGGAACTAGTCGAGATGTTTATCAGTTTTTGGTACATTAACACCCCCTTCCAGTTCCTACCCCCACCCACCCATCCCAATCGATGCCACCCTGCATGTACTTATTAAACACCCCCCCTCCCATACCGCACCAATTCTGGTCTTACCTAATGACTGCTGATTTGAGTGTCCCACGTAACTCCTTTTCCTGTTTAGAATCTGAAACAAAGCAGCCAACAAAATCTCCCAATTGGATAGATGTCATCATTTTCCTCAATTCTCCAGACCGAGTGGTGGCCTGGTCACCTATCAGACCAAGGGGCTTCACAATGGGATGGGGGAGGGCAGAGATGGCAGGTCTACAGTCATGACAGTGGGAGGGGGGGTTTGAAGGTTTAAATTCCCCTCTTGGATGCCCCCCCCCCCAAAAAAGGGTAAATTCATGCAGGAAAACATAGCCAATGCCTGCCAAATGCCCCTTATCTTGGCAGCTTAACACCCCCACTTAAACCTGGATCCGCCCCTGGATGAAGCATTTCTATATGGGGTTATTACATGTAGAGGGACAACGAGGCATTTTCTGTGATGATAGAAAGGCAGAGGTGGATGTTTGGTGGGTGGGGAAAGGGCAGGGGAGTGTTGTTTTTGGCGGAGGGGATAATAATCTTCATTATCAAGGCGGCATGTATTTTCTATGGATGTGATGTTTACATGTGTAAACGTTAAAACGTTCAAACGCTACAGGAAAATTTTGCTAAACGTTTGTCAAATTAAACGTAGATTCACATTCTTAGTAGTTTCCTCAGGATAGGGCAATGGGTACTTTTAAAATACTAATGGAATCTATTTAGGTTTCATTTTTTCCCCCAATAATTCTTTAAGTCAGAAATCCTCAATATTGAGGGAAAAGTAGGCTTCACTAAAATCGGTTAAAAGGAGAAAAACAGGGTACGCATGTAAATAATGTACCCACTGAAACTCACTAGCAAGTTAATATGCATTTATTATCGCAGAAACAATAAACAAGAACATTCTCCAAAGAACAGTAAAGAAAAGTCTCCCCAAAAAAATAGATTGGGAAAAAAAATTGAAAATTTAAAAGATGGGGAAAAGTGCATTGTCTGTTTTGAATTTTCATGGAAAAATATGTAATGTTTAGGAATGATTTTTAAATTTCAAAATGTTTAACATGTTTAGGCAAAAGTTGTAAAAATTTGTTTCATAATTACAAAATCTTAAGAAATGCAGAATGTTACCGAAGAGTGGTAAAACAGAACTTGGGGGCTGATGCAAAATTGTGATAAAATCAAATGTAAAAGTACTGGTACGGAGGGAAATAAGTATGATAAAAATTAAATTAACTAACAATTTTAACTTTATGTACTTCAGTATTGGATTTAAAAAAATGCTTAAGACATTTATAAGTACTACCTCTTAAGAGAACATTTTGTCTGCTAAGTACATCAAAAAATGTGGGCAAGAAAAACAGACATTTTTAAAATGACTTTCAACCACCAGAAAAGGAGCCAAAATTAGCAATTTTCTTTCAGAACCACACACCTTCCAAAAGAGATATCCACATGGTGTTACCGCAAACCTTCACTAATTATACTACCACCATGCAAAGTTTCAAATGATTACATTTCATTTGTCGAGATTATGTTACTTAAAGCATCTAAGATCATGTTATTGAAAGCATCTAAGCGCAGAGGCATATTATTACATTAAAAGTGGCAATTGTACAAAAGCTATGTACACTGAAAGATGTGCATGTACTACAATTGTCCATGTTCAAAATATGGTACACAAAACTAAGTTACACATGTACACAAAGTTAGAGACACAATTTAGCAAACCTTATACACATATATTCCATGTATACACCATACTTGTATTCAAGTCCGAGACCGAGTCACCTCTCCCGAGTACAAGTCTTGAGTTCAGAGTCATGCAGGTCGAGTCCGAGTCTGAGTCACGAGACACAAAGGTCGAGACAGAGATCACCTTTAAGTACTATTTTGACATATTTTCAGAAGCACACTGGTAGGCCTATATGTACACGTGAAGGTACAATACTTTCATGTGCATGCGTTGCTTTTGCACCGCACTGACTGTATAGCTTGCTCAGGAAAGGCTCGTCTTCAAAATAATTTGTAGATTTTATATTATTGAAAAAATAAGTGATTTGTGGTAATTTTGGTTGAGTCTCAAGTCATGCAGGGCCAAGTTGTGCTTCAAGTCCAAGTCATGCAAAATGGGACTCAAGACCGACTCGAGTCCGATCGAGTCACGATAAATCACATTTCAGCTACAGTAACGCAACCTTTCAACTTTGCATATGAGCATTTGACCGTTGGACCCTCCTGCCTCATGACTGGTACTCTACCCTGAACCAAACCGGTGCCCGCCTCCATGTCCCCTCGCTCAAACTCAAGTTCTGCATACGGCAACTCAATGTCTGCTGCCCGCGCTGGGCGCAGGGTCGGTTTACCAGTCTCTTCATTGTCCCACGTTGTCATTTGTATGTCGACGGACCTCCTGCGTGTACTGGCCGTCCGGTGACATACTCCCCATCTCCGGGAAACCAGGAATGCTATCACCATGACGATGACGATGATGGTAACCAATGCACCTGATGTACTGCCTAAGATCAGAACTAAAAGGTTTGACTGGGTACCAGCTACAAGCATTGTTCCAGTCTTGGTCACATGTTGAGTCGGTTCAAATGACACCTCTGGGACACCAGTTAATTTTTCTGTGTCAAGTAATGAACCTGCAGTGGTTACCGTAGCGTAAGGGAAAGTAGTTAACTCTTTTGACTCAGGCGATGACGAGGCCATTGTTGCCGTGACAACGGTTAGAGACGCATGATTGGAAACATGTCTTGTGCCGCTGCCACAAGACGGATCTGCACAAAAGTACACCACACAGAAAAATTCATTCTCGTTGTTTTCCAAACTCACGTTCACTATTTGCAACACGTATGAGTTTTTGCTGAGCGACACAGAAACTCTGTTAGGGTCTATACCTAGTATGGGAAGAGCTGAACGGCAACTGCTTATGTAATATTTTGATGTCCCATTCCCACCCCAGCTGAAAATCCAATACAAATGGGTGTTGTTATTACTCTCACAGTTAACCCGATGCTTCATCTGGCAGGTGAAGATTGCATCGTCTCCGGCAGCGACGGTCGCATTTTCGGGATGATGGCTAAAAAAGTCGGCCGACTGTGATGTCGTGGCAAAAAACGTGAGACTTATTGCGACTGCAATGAATGTTAGAGTACTCGGAGTCATGACGTCAACAATCTTGAAATCGAACCCTGTTTAAGTGGTACGTTGTATGTGTGCTAGAGTGCCTCACTATATGGATACAGTAGCGTGACGAGGGGTTCGAACCAGCAACCAGAAATCCAAAGTAAAGTTTCTGCAGTACAACATGTACCGTACCAACCACACACAACCAGTTCACGACAGTTGATAGAGCAGTTTGAAAAGCCAACTCCACTGACGCTCAGCTGAACAAATTTCAAATGGCAAGAATCACATCCCACCGCCTCATCTTCACAACGTCCATGAAAATGTCCATGCTCATGAGTTTGGTGAATATTTGTAGGCAACCTTAAAGGGAAAATACAACATTTGCAAACATCAAAAAATAAAACTACCAAATCGTTTTGAAATACCTTGCTGGACTGTTAGTGAATGACAGTGTGAGTGTAAAGCATCCTGTAAAATCATGGCACCTGGTATACTGTCATTTTCGAGAAAAGTGCTATTTTTGTATCAATTTCCAATGCTGATCGGCCGATCAGCGTTGGAAAAAACTGGCTTTTTTTCAAATACTGGCCCCAATTGACCATCGCACTTGTTTGCAATCGATTACACACCTATGAACGGGTACAAGCCAGCTAGACTGGTTCCCTGACCTTACAATTCCCCAATTTATGTAAACTGCTCTGTTTCTTCTTATATGGAGTCAGGGAACCAGACTACAGGAAAATGATTGTTTTCTTGGTTTTTATAGCATTTTCGAACCCAAAACCTCAAAAAAGTCAGTGTAACTATATTTGCTATACATTTCAAACCCCCCAATTCCATCCATTTCTGAAAATTACAGCAAAAGCAAATGATGTATATTCCCTTTAGTTTAAGACATACATACTTCATATGTAAGAAGAAGTTCAACACCCAGGCTATAAAAACTGCTGTGGAAATATTCACCTTTCAATTGAGATATATCTCCAGCAATTATGCTTCAGTCAGTTGCAAAACCAAGGAAACATGTTCACGTGACTTTCACAAATCACTGTTCAAAATCGACGTGACTAACGTATCTGACAATACATGTAGTGGAAAGCTTCATTCAAACGCTAATTATAGTAGCTTAGTAAAGTAGTTATGACTGGCACAAGCATTTATGAATAGGCTTGATCTACACTGTACACTGTACATCTTATTTTAGACGTCTAGTTCAATATGATGCATTTCCAGCTGCTAAAATAAATAGCGTTTTACTTTTCATTTCACTTTCATTCCTACGTGCAAGTCTGTTTACTTACAACTTTCATAAAGCTTTTGAAAATATCAGAAAGTACATACGTGTGTGAACTGAAAAGAAAAATTCACCTAGTACAGGTTCCTGTATAAACAAAAATAAGTTTCCAGAACAGACCGATACTGTCAGACTGTTTTAGACAATTACAATTGGATGAAACCACAGTTGACCACTATAACCATGCTCTATCAAACATTTCCTGTTGGATTGAGCAGTAAATCCCTTGTAGTATTTCTGTTGGATTCAGCACGCAACTAAAAACATTCAGAGTCAGATTCTGTTGGGTACTGATAAATAATGCCAAGTTGGACTTTGTTAACGCTAAGTTGGACACAATTTAAAACTCAAAATACATTTCAAACTTCTCATATTTCCCTTCACTATTTATAGTCTACTTCTAGGAAACACATCCTGTGACGTGCGATGCATGTTATTATGAAACAGGTCACTTGATGGTACGCATCTGAACAGTTTGAACTGACCACATCCGGTTTCAGCCTGTTTGTACCAGTTCTAGCCAGTTCTAGTTAAGCCGGATTACATGCAATGTAGTCATGTGACATGTGATTCATGTTGATTACATGTAATGTAATCCTGTGGTGACATTAATGTTATCCGGTTTCAACCTGTTCATACCAGTTCCATAAGTTCTAAGCCAGATTACATACAAACTGATGCACGGTAAGGCTGAGTACATGTAGAAGAACTACATGTATATTTAATTGAAAATAAAGTTTAATATTCTATCAGAATTATCAGAAAATTTGAACCACCTACAATGTAGGGATTGAAGCACAATAGAAATTCAAAATTAAAAGTCGCAGGTTCTAATTTATGTTTTTTAAGTCTCAAGCTTTTTCCTAAAAAGTACATTAGAAGTAGATATGTACGTACAAGTATACACTTACATAAGAATTAATATGCAGCTTATTTACAAGGGCAAGTCCAAAAAAGATCCCCTTGTGGTCCCATACATAACGCGCCATTTTTTTTTTTTAATTACATATTCAACGCAATCATTCTTGTGTGCATTCTCCTTGCCCAACAATCAAGCACTGAAATCCATGAATATATACATTGCTTTTTAGAGAGTTAACCTTTTGTTACGTATTGGACGTAACATGTGCGAATTCTTGGACTTGCCCTTCACTGTACATTTACATAAAGAATTATACTGTAAAAGACTTAAATTACTTCACATTAACGCTAACAATCTCCAACCAGCCAAACCCCAACACCAGGATTTGTTGGAATCTGTTAGGATGAGTACTGCACAAGTAACTTCACTAGTAAATTGACTGTACTTTACATGGGATTAGACATACCAAATCAACAGAGTCCAACTGCTATAATATGTGTACAGTTTACCATATGGTGTTGATATTTGCAAGGATGAGGAAGGTTCCTTGTAAATCACCCTAGGGAGTTATAGGGTTAACAAACAAATTTACTTCATTAACAATTTATAGCATGTACAATGTATAAGTACCTGAATGTAACCAAAATGCACTTCCCTTCTCAGTTAAAACAATGTCTCTTGGTTCTCCAAAGTGTTTCTAAACCCATTTTCTCTGCATCCAATGGGCTTGTCTCCCCATGTTGAAATAAGCACGGGTACATGTACATGTACATGTATGCAAAACACGGGTACGCGAGGCATTCCGGGATGAACTCAGGTTTGGCTGTGGATTTCCTTCCAACTCTAGTCCTGACCAGATTAGTTTTTAACCCATGTAGAGTACCGGACTCGTGTTTGATTCTTGTGAGTGAAAGGTGATGCCAACATCTCTGTTTTGGACCCAGATCCAACACAGAGATTTGGGATAGTGTGCATGGCCCTCAAGCTTTGGTCATGGTTTCAGTTAAACAGAGGGTCTGCTAGTCACGATTCAAGATGCTAGTAAACAGTATGTAGATCACAGCGCATTGGCACTGCATGGTGAGTGTGCCCGTCCGCGCTATAGTCAAAACCAGTCTAGAGAGGGTGCACTTTTACTAAAGTCTTGGACCACAACTCAGGGTCTCTCTGCTGTCCAAACCGACCGCGAATTATCACTGACATCCTGCATCAAGACGCTTGCTGGAGTCATTCCAACTTGACCTCTGACCTTCCTGGTATCCTGCACCCTGTACAGCACATCTCAACCGGTTAAGATCTGGCTTGGGTTTCCTGGCTATCGCAGGGTAGCTTATGCTTGGGATGGGTTGGCTGTGGGGCCTGCTGGAAGCCGCGGCCTTTGGTGCTGCCAGAGAATTCTGCTTGTTTGGAACCGTATAGAGGACCTCCCCAATATCTATCCGGGTCAGAGTGGCGTCTCCTGTGCTGTGGTGGAGGGATTGACTCTCTGGGTCGGCACTCTGATTGACACGCTTGTTTGGAACCGTACGGTATCCTGCACCCTGTACGGCACATCTTAACCGGTTAAGATCTGGCTTGGGTTTCCTGGCTATCGCAGGGTAGCTCATGCTTGGGATGGGTTGGCTGTGGGGCCTGCTGGAAGCCGCGGCCTTGGGTGCTGCCAGGGACTTCTGCTTGTTTGGAACCGTATAGAGGACCTCCCCAATATCTATCCGGCTCAGAGTGCCATCTCCCGTGCTGTGGTGGAGGGACCGGCTCTCTGGGTCGGCACTCTGATCGACACGCTTGCTTGGAACCGTATAGAGGACCTCCCCAATATCTATCCGTCTCAGAGTGGCATCTCCCGTGCTGTGGTGGAGGGATTGACTCTCTGGGTCAGCACTCTGATCGACATGCCTGGCTTCTACAGTGTCGCCGGTTGGTTGTGAAGGGGTACTGGCTGTTGCCTTGACGTGGTAGAATAGATGAAACCCAAGGATTCCGATGAGTAAGGCAGCAACGCATCCGACGATGATGAGACCCATTGTTGCCTTGGATGGAGTAATTTCAGATGAGGGAGTATTTGTACTTGGGTTGGGTGTAGACGATTCAGTTTCATTAACGACCCTCAATTCGGCTTCCCAAGAATTGTAAACCCAATGGTCTACAAAATGAATATGACAAAAATACAGCCCCTGGCTGGCCAAGGTGACTTTATGGACATGTAGAGTGTACGAAGGTTTTGCCCAAATCACACTCACATATGCATCAAGTACTTCCGAGTATGAAGACGTATAAGTGTCTTCACATACACTGATCATATGTGTAGTTGCTGCTCTTTCGTGAGTTTTGTAAGACCACTGAATAGTGTTCACTCTACAGTCTATGTCTACATGATCGGTGATCTGGCAAGTCAAAGTCACATTAGTCCCCCGACTTACATTCTGACTTTTTGGATGCAAACCAAAGTAATCTGCGTCACCACAGCTAGATACAACTACAAGCGATGGAGACACCATAAACGACACAAAGACTAAAAGGCGTAGCACTTCCATGTTGTATGGATTGACGATCAGTCGTTCATCGGCTCAAAGAAACTCTGTTCAATGCCTCAGTAAAATTGTTGGTTTAAATGACTCTACCACATCAGTAACAGAATTTTTGTTATAAATACAACTCTGGTGGTTTCGTGTTTCCTATTAAATACAGCAAACCGGAAGTCTGAAATTCTGTTTGTTTTTTTTTTTCCCAGAAAATGTCCTTATTACCGGTAGGTGGTCAAAAGCTTACAAAACTTCATCGAAATAGAACTTGTGGTTTTTGTGTTTTCAGAATCAAAAGAACAACAAGCTTCTATGTCAAGAATATGAGGGCAAATGATAAAGATGTCACACTTTTTTTATATTTTTTTTAGCAACCTCCTATACATTTTATAATCCTGAACATGTGTCTACATGTACCTCTATTTTCCCACAGATTAAATTTAAAAGATGCATAAGGCACAGTGGAGTTTACACAACATGCACTCCTTTAAAACAATTTTTTTAAAATTGACAGTGTAAGCTTTTGAAGAATTAAATTCTAGTTCCACGTCGCACAGATGGGATTTCGTAGGTATTTGGATCACTCAGTGGGCGTAAGGAGGCAAATTCTTGATTGGGTTCAAAAATAAGGCCTTGATAAACATGGCCATTTGGCCGTTGAGAGGGGAAGGTCGTTACAACA